TTTTTTTTTTTTTTTTTTTTTTTTTTGTTGTTGTTGTTGTTTTAATATGATTATTGGCCTATGTGTGAGTACTTTGCCTGGTATTGCTGTGAGAATCCTTCTCTGTTTTTTTGGCTCAAAGCTTGCTTCCTGAGGTATTTCTTGTGATAAGACTCTGAGTGATTTGTTGAGGAGGCAAGTGATGGGTGCTAACCTTGTGACAATGGATATCGCTTTGGGAACATTTGAAAGCCCCTTCCCCCAGAGCTGCTTGCTCTGTAGAAGAGCGGATGAGAATGCTCAGCAGTGTTCACTGGCGGAAGATCTGGCCTGTGACAAAACAGCTCCAGCTAGGTGTGGGAAAATTGGGGAACGATACCATCGTGTTCTGTGAGAAACAGGATGCAGATGGGCACCCTTGCTCCCTCTTATCTGCTGGCAAGGCCCGGAAGATGGGAACAAAGGAGTTTCTGCTGAGATCCCAGAGCCAGAAGCTGCCACCGCAAGGAGAACTGACTCAACCACTTTGGATTTGAGCTGTCACTCTAAAGACAGCTGACTCGACCACTCTGAAACTATTGAAAAGGGGCCATCATCACCATGGTCGTCCTCGTTCGTCGTCGTCGTTGTCAACAGAACAACTCTGCCTGACGACCCACCACTACTGAAGATCAAAGACTGAACTATGAACCACGCTGGATCCATGGTGGTGACTATGTCCCTCTTGCTGCCTATAAAGACTCCTTGCCTCTTCTTTCCTATCTTTTCTATCGCCCTCCTTCCCTTCCCCATTACCCTAATTCATAATAGTGTCCGTCCTCCCCTTCCCCATTTCCCTGATTAAGATTTGTAATAAACTGTTCGGACCAACATTTGAACCATTGTTTCTTAATCTCACGCTGGGTATATAAATAATAAACCTCCTCTCCCTCCTATAAATTGGAGCGAGACAATTGCCAAGAACTTCATGAAGAAGCAATTTTGCTTCTTCATGAGCAGAACAGATACAAAACAATCTCAGGCCAAGAGGTTTAAAAGAACATAACAAAACAGTCAAAAATAGTAGTAAAGTCACAGGAAAGTAATTTAGTCTCTAGACAGCACATATTACCATAGTGATAGAAATGAACTTTAGTCGTGTGAGACCTAAAGCAGGATTAACTTCCCCCCTCCCAGTGGTAACTGAGTTAACTACAGGAATCTTTACATCCAAGGATTTTGCATTCTATCCTAGCTCAGGTATCAAAACAGTACTTCTCCATGGATATACAGAGGTTGAACAGATGCTAGGCAGGCTTAGGCTGTTTCCTGTAAGACAGCTGTTTGAAATATCAAGTGAAAAAGCAGGAGATGCTCTCCAAAGGTTTCACTGAAAATCCCTTTCAGTATGCCAGAGGAAGAATACTTTGGCAGCATGAGAAAGCCATATAGCCACATACTCCTCAATATATGTGGTGACTAATGCCTACCATTTATAAAAACTAACAAGTCTGTAAAACCTACTCTTTCAGCAACAGCATCCTGACAAGATAGCTTCGTAAGAGTACTATAGCAGTATTCCCCACAGCTGATATTACCCAGCAAAGCTGACTTCAGGCTCATGGAGTCTGAGGAGTGCCTTTGTGTAGGCTAGGGTGAAGGTGCAGATAGGCCCAGGGCAAGATAACAGATAGTGCTTCCCCAGGCCCTGATGGTTTACTGCCTCTTGCAGCTAGCTAGGGAATTACTTACAAGTTCCCAGAGGCATCCTACACCTTTAGGTGGCACAGCCCCAACTGATAGGCAGCACTCATGCTGTCTGTTGTCACTGACCTAAGGTACAGGTTGATCATCTGAACAAGAGAATCAGCTTTGTTCAAGAGTGCAAACTGGGAGTTCCCTAAGTGCTAGGTCTCAGCTGCATCCTAAGGACCCTCCCAACACTGCTCTACTCATGTGAGTCAAACTACAAAGCAGCGCTGCTCACAGCAATAGCACCTGTGCTTTTGAGCCCTAGCCAGTGATCGCAGCTACAGATAGCAACAGTTCACCTGAAGTCTCCCCAAATATTTCAGCTCACCATGATTAACAATGACATTTCACTTACAGTCAAATGAGATTCTAATTCAACATTGGAGGCTTGTGATCCATATCCAGAATTCACTCACTGAACCTGCCAAGTATGCCATTTTAACAAGCCAGCATCATTTTGAAGCAGTTTTTTAATGAAGAACATAACTACAAAAAGCAAAGTAGCATTGGAGTTGCTGAGTACCCAAGCATACGCTTATGTTTGTGGAACAGTTTGCTCACAGAATCACCAAGGTTGGAAAAGACCTTCAAGATCATCCAGTCCAACCATCTACCTATCACCAATAGTACTGACTGAACCATATACCTCAACACAAAATCCAAACGTTCCTTGAACACCTCCAGGGTCGGTGACTCCAGCACCTCCCTGGGCAGCCCATTCCACTGCCGGACCACTCTTTCAGAGAAGCAGTATTTCCTAACGTCTGGCCTGAATCTCCCCTGGCACAGCTTGAAACCATTCCCTCTGGTCCTATCGCTAGTTACACGAGAGAAGAGGCCGACCCCCAGCTCACTACAGCCTCCCTTCAGGTAGTTATAGAGAGCAATAAGGTCTCCCCTGAGCCTCTTTTTCTCCAGGCTGAACATTCCCAGCTCCTTCAGTAGCTCCTCATCAGCCCTGTGCTCCAGACCCCTCACCAGCTTTGTTGCCCTTCTTTGAACCCGCTCCAGGGCCTCAATGTCTTTCTTGCAGTGAGGGGCCCAAAACTGGATGAGGTGCAGCCTCACCAGAGCTGAGTACAGGGGACAATCACTGCCCTGTTCCTGCTGGCAACACCGTTCCTGATGCAAGCCAAGATGCCATTGGCCTTCTTGGCCACCCGGGCACACTGCTGGTCCATGTTCAGCCGAGCATCAATCAATATTCCCAGGTCCATTTCCTCTTCCAGCCACTCCGCCCCAAGCCTGTAGTGTTGCCTGGGGTTGTTGCGGCCAAAGTGCAGGACCCAGCATTTGTTATAAGGTGGTTTCTTTTTTTAAGGACTCCAAAAAACTTGTGAAATCCATAAATATTTTTATTATCATTTTAAGATGAAAATTAATCTTACTCAAGTGTCCTGGTTTCAGCTGGGACAGAGTTGATTTTCCCTTCATAGTGCCTGGTATGATGCTATGTTTTGGATTTAGGAAAAAAACAATGTTGATAACATGCCCAAGTTTTAGATGTTGCTGAGCAATGCTGCACAGAGCCAAGGACGTTTCAGTTTTTCAGCTTCTTATACTGTTCCCCCCAGTGAGGGGGTGGGGGGGGGCCAAGGAGCTGGGAGGGGACAGAACCAGGACAGCTGACATAAACTGGCCAAAGGGATATTCCATACCATATGGCCTTGTGAAAAACTATAAAACTGGGGAGTTGGCTGGGGGGGCAACCACTTGGAGACTAGCTGAGCATCAGTCAGTAGGAGGTGAACACTGCATTGCACGTCACTTGTTTCGTGTATTATTATAATTACTTTTACCTTTATTTTCCTCCTCCTTTTCTGTCTTAGTAAATAGTTTTTATCTCACACAAGTTCTACTTTTTTTTTTTTCCGATATTCTCTCCCATCACTGGGGTATATGTATGCACAAACAACTGCATGACATTTAGCTACCTGCTGGGTTAAACCACAGCATAAAGTGAAGCTATGATTACAGCCTATTCTGGCTTAATTCATCATTTCCTCTAGTTTACACAGTTTCTCCTTTAAATATCTCCCAGGAAAATGTAGTGCTGCTGATCAGAAGAAAGCACTGCAGCACTTGGGGGAAGTTCCTCACATCATCAGGTAAGCAGCATGTAGGCCAACAAATATTTTACAATATAAAAATAAAGAGGGAAGCAAGGATTTTAGATTTCTTTTTTGCAATGATCAATGTTATGTGTTTGAGAATTTGTTGATTAATGGTTCTATGTCCAAGTGGAGGCTGGTTAGGAGCAGCATCCCCCAGGGCTCTGTCTTGGGACCAGTGCTCTTTGACATCTTTAGCAGTGACAGCAACAACAGAATCAAGTGCACCCTCAGCAAGTTTGCTGATGGCACCAAGCTGAGTGGTGCGGTTGACATGGTGGAAGGAAGGGATGCCATTCAAGGGACCTCAACAGGCTGGAAAGGTGGGCCCACGTGAACCTGATGAGGTTCAACACAGCACAGTGCAAGGTTTTGCACTTGGGCCGGAGGAATCCCAGGCATCCATGCAGACTGGAAGGAGCGGTCCTTGAGAGCAGCCCTGCAGAGAAGGACCTGGGGGTCCTGATAGATGAAAAGCTGAACATGAGCCAGCAGTGTGCATTGCAGCTCAGAAAGCAAATGGCATCCTGGGCTCCATCAGCAGAGGGGTGGCCAGCAGGGACAGGGAGGTGATTGTCCCCCTCTGCTCTGCTCCTGTGAGGCCCCATCTGCAGCGCTGTGTCCAGGTCTGGAGCCCCCAGTACAAGAAAGACAGGGAGCTGATGGAGAGGGTGCAGAGGAGCCACAGAGATGATCAGGGCACTGGAGCACCTCCCCTACGAGGACAGCTGGGCTTGTTCAGCCTGGAGAAGAAAAGCTGCGGGGTGACCTCATGGCAGCTTTCAGTACCTAAAGGGAACCTACAAACAGGAGGGGAATCAACTCTTGGAAAGGGGAGATAACAGCAGAACAAGGGGAGATCAGCACAAGATTTTAGGGATCATTGTAGTCAAAGGGAGGGTTCACCCTATATATGTTTTTGAAAGATAAATACATCATCCACCATTGTTCGTATTTGCCAGAGTGGTGTGGTTTAACCTGGCAAGCAGCTAAAGAATAACAAGGTTGGAAATGACCTGCAAGATCACCTAGTCCGACTCCCATCACCATTGCCACCACAAGCACAAACCAGATCTCACAGCTCCTCATCCAGACTTCTCTTGAACACTGCCAGGGACGGCGACTCCACCACCTCCCTGGGCATTCCAGTGCCTGACCACTCTCTGAGAGAAAAAGTTTTGCCTTATGTCCAACCTAAACCTCCTCTAGAACAACTTGCAGCAATTTCCTTGGGCAGCTGAGGCTGCCTGCTGAACTTGCCAGTGAGAGAAAGGTTCCATCCCTGCCTACAAGACCAGCATTTCCTACAGGTCTTAGGAATTAACTGCTCAACCATGAAGCTAACATTTAACACAAACAGCTAACCGCTTCAGTTATGGCTTAGAGTTATTTAGTATCATCAATATTTCTTTAAGTTAAGGAACTAGAAAGCCTTCCCTCATGCCTGAGAAAAACTCTTTTTCTATCTCATTTTTTCTCAATATAAGAAACCTTACCTCATAAATGTTGGGGTGCCACATTTTGGTTAGAAATCTGAAGGTAGGTGGTGAATATGGGTAGTCAATAGGAAATTTAATGTGAGCCTGGAAAAAGCAAAATATTATAGTCAGAAAACAGAACAAAAGAAGATCAACAAGCCATTGTTACAGGGAAAAAGCAGAAAATTATTTCAATTAAGGCCATTAAACAATTCATTTTATGTATCAGTGTCCATGCAGAACCACAATACAACCTTGTACAATTCCTTATAAGCAAAACAGTAACAAGACAAAAAAAAAAAAAAAAAACCGAAAAAAAACCCTAAACATTTGAGCCACACCAGCCCAGGTCAGTCTTAAAAACAAGCCAAATGGTATCCACTTATGTCCCAATTCAAGCATTCAAGCAGCACTCTCCAACAACTGCTGTTCAACAGGGCAAAATAGATGTCAAAAGACAGAACTCAAGATATCATTATTTTTTTTCCTGAATTCAAAAGTAGGTTAAAAACATTGGCTATGGTAAGAAGACCTGTTTTACATCAGTGCTCTGGTTCAACCTGGCAGTTGGATAATCACTACATAGTTGTTTGCTCACTCACTCCCTTTTCCAGAGGGGTGGGAGAGAGAATCAGGGGGAAAAAAAGTAGAACCCGTGGGTTGAGATAAAACTATTTCCTAAGATAGAGAAAAAGGATAATAGTTAGGACTATATATATATATAAACATATATAACAAGTGATGTTCAAGCAATTGCTCACCACCCACCGACTGATGCCCAGCTAGCCCCTGAGCAGTAGAAGAGAAACGGATGAACTCCCACTCACTTCAAACCTCCTTCCACTTGATGGTATGGAATATCCCTTTCGCCAGTTCAAGTCAGCTGTCCTAACCCTGTTCCTTCCCAGTTCGTTGAGCCCTTTGCTGAGAATGGCCTTGGCTCTGTACAACTGTCACGGAGTTGATCAGATCAATCTATGTCCGTGACAGGGGCAACAGGCCTCTGCCCTCCCCCCCCACCACAGTCCCACAAAAATGGGAAGGAAGGAAGGGAGGAAAAGAGCAGCGGCAACAATCTATGGAGGAAAACTTATTTTACTATGATATTGGAATACAAAATAACACAATATATACAATTTAATTGAAATTGAGATTAATAAATCAGACAAGATGAGAGAGAGAGTTCTTGGGACCGATTCAAACCTGAAAAGTTTGGAACGGCCAGGAAAGCACCTCCAGCACCCACTGCAAGGCAGCAAGAGAGCGCCCCCCCCCACCTGGAAGGGCCAGATCCCGTGACTGCTGTAATGTACAGGGATAGGTACCTGGGATTGGGGCAGTGACACTTCAATGCCCTGTACACTACATGATGTTTTGATGTGGAATACTGAAACCCAAAAACAAAAAACAAAAACAAAAAAAACATAGAACCATGACATTAACACTGCTTAACAGAAACTGTAAGCATCGGTGTTATCAACAGTTTTTCTCCTAGAACCAAAACACTGCATCATAGCAGACACTCTGAAGAAAACAATTCTGTCCCAGCTCAAACTAAGACAATATCTACCCCTTATGACATACCATTTACATCATGTTCAGGTCCCACAATTTCTATGCATCCTAATTACCATCACCTACCTTGCTTTTCTTAAAAATATATATACACATATTATTTCCACAGTCTACGGGCTATTCATGTAAATTATCCATGGTATTCATTTAGTTCATAACTTCAAGCTCCATCTGTCATAACAGTCCTTCAGTGCAGGAGGGATGATTCACAGTGTTGGATTAATGTATGCAGAAGCCAGTACTGGTTCCATTGGAGTATGCAGGAAGTTTGATTGGGCAGGACTAACTTGATTGGAAGATCCCCAAGTGTTGACCAACCAGGTGGCCTCTGCCAGATTCTTCTCCCAATGCTTGAATGTTCCACCACCCATTGCTTTCAACATAGTTTTTAACAGTCCATTATATTGTTCAATTTTACTGGAAGCTGGTGCATGATAGGGAATGTAATATACCTACTCAATGCCATGCTCTTTAGCCCAGGTGGTTACGAGATTGTTTTGGAAATGAGTCCTGTTGTCCAACTCAATTCTTTCCGGGGTGCCATGTCACCACAAGACTTGCTTTTCAAGGGACAGAACAATGTTTTGGGCAGTAGCATAGGGCATGGGATACGTTTCCAGCCATTCAGTGGTTTCTTCCACCATTATAAGCACATGGCATTTGCCACGGCAAGTTTGTGCGAGTGTAATATAATCCAGCTGCCAAGCCTCCTCGTATTTATATTTCAGCCATTGTCCTCCATACCAAACATGTTATATTCACTTGGCTTTCTTAATTACAGCACATTTCACATTCACGGATAACCCGTGCAATAGGTTTGCCTTTGTGCTACCAGTTGCTCTGAAGTCAAGTTCCAAACCACTGGGGGTGCCCACCAACCTAGGCACCTCCCCATACCATTCCACACTCCCTGCCACTGTCCTGGTTTTATCAGTATTCCATATCATGGCATCATGAAACAGGCTGTTGGGTGCAGAGAGTGCACTGTGAAGCTGTGTTTCCTGGTTTCTTTAGCAGTGTCACATGAGCTCTGACTCTCCCAGAGAAAGATACACTGACATCTACTACATTTCCCAAGGGCCTCCACAGGATTTCCGATTCCAGATGACAGAGAAGAGCTTTCTTGTTATTTTTTTTCTGAGAGGCCAGCCAATAAAGACTTAGACTGACTCTCTCTCCTCCCATTTACTTTTGGTTTGTTTGATTTATTCTTAATTATTTAATTCTTAATTACTTAATTATCTTAATTCTTAAACATAATCTGAAGCACATTCATGACACGTAGCATTTGACAGTGTCCTGCATAACATCCTGGTCAATAAATAGGAGAAAAATGAATTTGATGGATAGACCACTTGCTGGATAGGGAATTGTCTGGATGGCCAAACTCAGAGAGTTGCAGTCAAAAGCTCAGTGTCCAAATGAAGACTGGTGACAAATGGCGTTTCTCAGGGATCAGTGTTGGGACCAGTGCTATTTAACATCTATGTAGGCAACATGAATATAAACCATGTCCCTCAATACAACATCTAAATATTCCTTGAACACCTCCAGGGTTGATGACTCCACCACCTCCCTGTGCAGCCCATTCCAGTGCCTGATCACACAAGGCCTCCTCACTCTTTTCTTTCTAACAGGCAGAACCAAGCTCCTCACTGCACACCATCACTTTCTGTAACAGCCAGTTGTATGAGGTTCAACACGATTAAGTGTGGGGTCCTGCACTTCAGTTACAACACCATGCAAAGCTATAGGTTTGGGGCAGAGTAGCTGTGGTGGAAAGGGATTTGGGGTGTTAGTTGACAGCCAGCTGAACATGAATCTGGTGCCATGAGGCCAAGAAGGCCAATGCCATCCTGGCTTGTATTAAAAATAGCACTGCTATTAAGACCTCCAAGATGATCAAATTCAACTGTCACCCCATCATCACCATGCCCACTAAGCCATATCCCTAAGAGGCACATCTATATATTCTTGAACACCTCCAGGGATGGTGACTCCAAGACTTCCCTGGGCAGCCTGTTCCAATGCTTGACCTCTCTTTCAGAGAAGAAATTTTTCCTAATATCCAACCTGAACCTCCCCGACACAACTTGAAGCCATTAGCCTCATCCCATTGTTTAGTCACCTGGGAAAAGAGGCTGACACTCACCTCGCTACAACCTTCCTTCAGGAAATTGTAGGTGAGTTATAAGATCTCCTCTGAAACTCCTCTTCTCCAGACTGAACAATCCCAGCTCCCTCAGCCGCTCCTCATAAGGTTTGTGCTCCAGACCCTCACCAGCTTTGTTGCCCTCCTTTGAACACGTTCCAGGGCCTCAATGTCTTTCTTGCAGTGAGGGGCCCAAAACTGGACACAGTACTCGAGGTGCGGCCTCACCAGTGCTGAGTACAGGGGGACGATTACCTCTCTGCTCCTGCTGGCCACACCATTTCTAATGCAGGCCAGGATGACATTGGCCCTCTTGGCCACCTGGGCACACTGTCGGCTCATATCAGGTCCCTTTACTCTTCACACTCATCCAGCCACTCTGCTCTAAGCCTGTAGCATTGCATGGAGTTATTGTGGCCAAAGTGCAGGACCCAGGAGACAGTATGATGCACTTGTTACTTATCCTGGTCATTTCTATAATTTGCTCAAATGCAAGTGATCAGGAACAAAACAGACTAGTTTCACAGCCTTTTGCATCAAGCTAGACAGATTTGCTATGAATTCAACTATTTCACTTCAACAGTTTGCACATTCATTAAAACACAACAGATTGCTTTATTCTTTAGTGAGGCAGACCATACCATTTGCACCTGCTGAGCAAAAAGATAATGTTCAAATTAGCTTGATAAATAAGCATTATTTACTTCAGCCTGTTTAACTATTTTCAGAGAGTTCTTTAACAAATACTAGCCTAATCATTCATGAGTCAGTCAATGACTAATTGCCTTGACTCTCCTCATATACAAACCAGGCTGCATGAAAGAAGGAAGCATTTCTCAAGGGAAACCAATCACATGCTCTACTAAAAACTCAGAGCAGGCCTTGATGCAGAGACCTCTTTCATAAGCAGCAAGAGGAAAGGAATATTCATAGCATTACAGGTGTAAACCAAAGAACTGTGCTGCAGTATAACAAAACGTCAAGTTCCTCATCACATCTAGCAGCAGTTCTTCTCAAGAGACTTCTCAAGTTGGCATACAAACTTTTATTTAAAATACTGTCATGGTTTTGTAATTTTTGGCTTTCAGTATTCCACATCATAACATCATGTGAGGCACTGGGACTTTAACTGTTAATGCTCAAGTCCTGGGTACCTGCCCAGAAGAGAAGAAGAA